GTGTGTTCGTGGTTGATGAGATAGGGTGGGGAAAATTTGGGAGATAAAGCGTTTCTTCTAGAGGTGGTAAATATCCTGGAGTTAGATTCTGGTGATGTGTGAGCATTGTGAAAATGCTAAAAGTCACTGAATTTTGCATTATTTAGAATGGTTAAAATGTGAATGTTTTATAGTACTAGAATATTCTATTTTCATATGTTTGAAAATGCTCAGAAAAAATGATCTGAGACGAAATTCTAAAGCAGCGGTTCTCAACCTGTGGCTCTCCACCCCGTTGGGGGTTAAATGACCCTTTTACAGGGGTTGCCCGATTCATAACAGTAGCAAAATGACAGAAAGTAGCAAAGAAAAGAAAATTTCAACAAGAGGAACTGTATTAAAGGATCGCAGCATTAGGAAGGTTGAGAACCACTGTTCTAAAGGAATTTGAAATGGGAGGAAAAAAATCTTACCATTTGCATATTTTTTTATTACTGATGCTTTTAAATCTGTTGAATAGATCTAAATTTGCCTGATAGCATTTTCTTCTTTCCTAAGGAGCTTCCTTGAATATTTCTTAGAGTGTAAGCCTAGATAATCAATTTTGTTTATCTTCTATTGGTCTGATAATGACTTTTTTGTTGTTGTTGCTTTTTAAACTTTTTATTGTGAATTAAGGTTTTCGGAACAGATCAGTTTTCCATTAAGCAATGTCTAACATTTTCTTTCACCTCGCTGACTGTGATCTCCCAGTGTAGTGTCACTTATCCCACTTCTTCCCGGGCTCTTTCCAAGCTCCTCCTCTCCTAACTCTTCTGAACGTTGTTTTCTGAAAGACTGTTCTCCGAGTTTACAGTTCTGGCTGAGATAAGTGGCTAAATGGAGAAAGCATGAGGATGGAGGGATATCCTTGCTTTTTAACAAGTTATCGTGTGCCTTGCAGTGTTCAAGGATTTCTGCTGTTGTAAAGATTTACAGCCACAGAAACCCGAAGGGACAATTCTGCTGTATCTTAGAGATTGACTCGATGACATTGAGGTTGGTTGTGCTGTATTTGTCTTTATATTTACATTGACTGGATTTCGTGGAGCTTCTTGGATTCTGTGGATTTGTATTTTTATCCGATTTAGAAAATTTGGTGGCGTAATTTTTTCAAATAAGGAGCCCTCATGGTGTGTTGGCTAAGCACTCAGCTACCAACCCAAAGGTCAGTAGTTGATACTCGCCAGCACGGCACCTAAGAAAGATGTGCTGTTAGCTTCCAGGAAGATGACTACCGGGAACCCTAGGGGGCAAGGTGAGCCAAAATCACATTGAAAGCAACCATTTTGAATTTGGGATTATGTATTCCAGAATTGGTTCATTAAAATACATTTTTTGCGCTTGATAAAGAACAGAGTAGTTAGGAGTTAAAGGAGCTGGGTGGCACTGTGGGCTAAGCATTGGGCTGCTAACTGAAGTGCTGGTAGTTCAAACCCACCACGCCCATCCTCAGGAGAAGGAGGAGGCCATTTGTTCCCATGAAGGTTTCCCAACTCGATGACAATGGGTGGGAGATAGAATAGAGAACTGGTAAAGATGGAAGCTTGGAGACGACTTCCTGTGCTCATTTTGTCATTGAGAAAGTAGAGCACACATTATTGTCTATATTGTACTCAAGTAAGGATCATGATTTGACTTATATTTCTTTTATATTCTCCCCTCAAATACAGCAGAATGTGGAATACTTAGTGAGAATTCAGTAAATATCTGGTGGGGTTTCATTCACAAGTCGAATGGTTGCCGACACTTCTGAAACTACTTGAAGTCTAAATTTAAGTGTTTGTGCATCACAATTTTTTTGTTTTTTTAAAAATCATTTTATTGGGGGTTTGGAGGGCCCTTAACACAATCCATCCATCCATGTGTCAAGCACAATTGTACATTTTGTTGCCATCATCGTTTTCAAAACATTTTCTTTATACTTTAGCCCTTGGTATCAGCTCATTTTTCCCCTCCTTCCTTCATGAACTCTTGATAATTTATAAATTATTATTATTTTTTCATGTCTTACACTGACCAATGTCTCTCTTTGCCCACTTTTCTGTTGTCTGTCCCCCTGGGAGGGGGTTATGTAGATCATTGTGATTAGTTCCCCCTTTCTCCCCACACTTTCCCCTTACCCTCTTGGTATCGCTACTCTCATTATTGGTCCTGAGGGGTTTATCTGTCTTGAATTCCCCTGTGTTTTCAGCTCTTATCTCTACCTGTGTACATGCTCTGGTCTAGCTGGATTTGTAAGGTAGAATTGGGGTCATGATAGTGAGGGAGAGGAACCATTAAAGAACTGGAGGAAAGTTGTATGTTTCATTGGTGCTCTACTGCATCCTGACTGGTTTGTCTTTTCCTTGTGTCCCTTTGTAAGGGGTTGTCCAATTGTCTACAGATGGGCTTTGGGTCTCCACTGTGTACTCCCCCTCATTCACAATGATATGATTTTTTTGTTCTGATGATGCCTGACACCTGATCCCTTCGACACCTCGTGATCACACAGGCTGGTGTGCTTCTTCCATGTGGGCTTTGTTGCTTCACAGTTTGATGGTTGTTTGTTTATCTTCAAGCCTTTAAGACCTCAGATGCTATATCTTTTGATAGCTGGACACTATCAGCTTTCTTCACCACATTTGCTTATGTACCTATTTTATCTTCAGCGATTGTGTAGGGAAGGTGAGCATCACGGAATGCCAGCTTATTAGAACAAAGTGTTCTTGTGTTGAGGGAGTACTTGAGTAGAGGCCTAATGTCCATCTGCTACCTTAATACTTAACATATAAATGTATGTACATAGATCTATTTCCCTATCATTATATATAAATATATTTACATATGTACATGACTGTATTTAAACCTCTATAAATGCCTTTTGCCTTGAAGACAAATGGGTGCATAAGCAAATGTGGTGAAGAAAGCTGATGGTGCCCGGCTATCAAAAAGTATAGCGTCTGGGGTCTTAAAGGCTTGAAGGTAATCAAGCGGCCATCAAGCTCAGAAGCAACAAAGCCCACATGGAAGAAGCACACCAGCCTATGCAACCACGAGGTGTCGAAGGGATCAGGTGTAAGGCATCATCAGAACAAAACTTACCATAGTGAATGATGGGGGGAGTGCAGAGTGGAGATCCAAAGCCCATTAGTAGGCCACTGGAGATCCCCTTGCAGAGGGGTCTCGGGGAGGAGATGAGCCAGTCAGGGTGCGATGTAGCGATGATGAGAAATACAACTTTCCTCTAGTTCCTAAATGTTTCCTCCCCGCTCCCACTACCATGACTCAAATTCTATCTTGCAAGACTGGCTAGACCAGAGGAGGTACACTGGTACAGATAGGAACTGAAAATAAAGGGAATCCAGGACGGATGAGCCCTATAGGACCAGTGGTGTGAGTGGCAAAACAGGAAGGGTAAAGGGAGACTGGGTAGGAAAGAGGGAACCGATTACATGGAACTGTGTGTGACCTCCTCCCTGGGGGACAGACAACCGAAAAGTGGGGGAAGGGAGACGTTGGACAGGGCAAGATATGACAAAATACCCATTTATAAACTATCAAGGGCTCATGCGGGAGGGGGGAGGGGGAGGGAGGGGAAAAATGAGGACCTAATGTCGGGGGTTTAAATGGAGAGAAAATGTTTTGAGAAACGATGTACAAATGCGCTTTACACAATTGATGTGTGTATGGATTGGGATAACAGTTGTATGAGCCCCTAATAAAATGTTAAAAAAGAAAAAATAATAAATTAAAAAAAAAATGCCTTTTGCCTCCTACTTCATGCCTCTATTTCCTTTTACTTTCCTCTTGTCCCACTATCATGTTCAGCCTTCATTCGGGTTTCAGTAATTTTCACAACATTGCCCTTGATCAAGCCCTACCAGGCATCCTACACCCTCCTCGCCATCAATTTTAGATCACCTTTTCACACCGAGCTAACTTTATTTTCTTTTTAAAAAATCATTTGAAGCATTTGGTTCAAGATTTTATTTCACCTGGACTCAGACTGGCCTTTCTGTGTTTACCATTTCCCAAAAGGCCATCCTGCTAGATAGGGGCACAGCCCTAGGCGTACTGGTGGGAGGGGTAGATGTTGTGCCCATCATATTTGTTGGTGGTGAGGCAGCTCAGCATGAAATGGCTCAGGTTATGTTTGGAGATGATGGCCTTGTTCATCTAGGTCATGAGTAGGCTCCAGTAAACAGCTGGTCCCCTATGTGGGGTGGCATCACAGTGACTTACCTCAGGCCTGATCCTGCAACACCTTGTGCATCCAAATGTGGTCACTAGTCACAGCCCCATTGGCTGGATCCCATAGCAGAAAGGCTAAGTTTCTGGCTGGACCTTCTCCTTGCTTATTGCCTTCATGACTGCCATTGACATCACTATTCTGGGCGTCCTGGGACATCACTGAGGTGGGATCCAGGACTGGGCTAGGTGAGTGCAGACCACACCCACTGACTCTTGCTTGGTCTCCTAGTGCTCGAGGACACCTCCTACTGCCAAGCCTTGTCCTGGTAGACTTCCCTTGGGAACTGACTGGATGGCAGGGAGAAAGCCCCGTACCCTTACTTTCTTTTAATACATAAGAAATACATCTGTACATTATTATTTTCTCCTTTTGAAAGTGAAAATATTTTTTAAGAGATTTACCTTACTACTGTGCTGTTCGTTAAATATTTTAAAATTTCATTCAATAAATTTCTGTGCTGAATTTACCAAAGACCAATAAGAGCATTAGAACTTATTTAATGCATGAACTATGGGCCACGTGTTCTTTAGCTGTATTTGACTTATTGTTATTTTAAAATTATCCATTACTTTATCTCGTTTTACTCTGACATTGTTGGGTTGCCTTGAGTCAGAATCGACTCACCAGCAGCTGATCTGAAGACTGCATGTTATGTGTATAGATTTTGAGTTTATGCTGCATTTCTCATCTGTGAGCTCTTTAATACTAAAATCCTCTTGGAATTCTTACTGTTACATTTGTCTTCTAGAGTTCACCTTTACCAACCAAGACCATAAAAATGAGCAGCCGACGGAAGCGTGCTCCTCCTGTGAAGGTGGATGAAGAAAAGCAGCAACAGCTCCGTTGGAACATGCATGAAGACAGAAAGAATGAACCTCTCACCCTCATTGATGATGAGCAGCCCTGCCCAGGTTCAGACCCCTCTTCTGCTGATTGCATTTTCCTGGATGATAGTCTAGAGGAAGAAGTGGCTCACAGAGTTAAGAAGAATTGTACAGGGTCAGTGAGCATTTCAAATTCAGTTGATTCAGAAGAGACCATTGGTAGTCCCTCTCCTTTGTTGATGAAATTGAATGTTGTGATAGCTCCCTATCACCTAGATGGTTCTTGGAAGGTGTTTCTAGGAGAATTAACTCTTCAGCTTCTTCCTGAACAGAGTTTAATCATAGGTTTTTCTGAAAGGAGTTTTACATTAATGAGTTCAGACTCCAGCAATCATTTACTAGTCTGCGTTCATTCAGAAGCTGGAGATGTGGACAAAGAAGAAAAAGAGCTCAGTGAACTGATTGGTTTTTGTGACAAGGGTATTCAGGTGGAATCATCCTTCAGTAATGAACTGTTAGAAGATTTAGGGTGGCTGCAAAAGAAGAGAAGAATAAAACTGTATCAAAGACCAGAAGGAAATCATGCTATTAAGGTATGTGATTTTAATAATGTCTTTTAAGGTTCTTCAAATCGCAGTCTCTTTTGAAGTATACTTCAAAGAGGCGGAGAAATCAATAAGCCCATCATTACTAAATTTTAAAAACTTTATTTGGAGTTTTCAAGAACAATAAAACTACAGTGGTCATTTCCAATGTGACTTCTTCATTAGAAGTCCTTCCTGGCTTCTTCCCTTTCCATCTCTGCTTCCAATAACTTGCTTTGGTGTGCAACAACTCTTGCTCTTCTTCTCTCAATTACTTAACCACTTCTTGTATCCAATCATGCTGTAGCCAGTCCTTGCAGTTTGACTCTGGAATTGTACTAAGAATGCAAATGGAATTCTATTCATGACGACCTACAGAATTTTTAACTTCATCATCTGAAAACAAGGCACTCTTTGGAATGGCCTTTATCTACATCTTCAACCCATCCTTTATCAATCTACTTCATATATTATCTCCCACATTCTAAACTGATTGATTTCCTGCATATACCCTACTTCCTTTGTTTTACTCTCTTAAATCTCTTCTGCCTCGGTTGCCTCCTCCCTTTTCCTTGAGTAACTGGTGGTCATGTTTAAATATTGAGGTCAAAGTTCACTTCAGGGAGATTTTCTTGAACTGAATGGGGCCCCTTCCCCATAATTCCAGATGTATGATTTTTTTTTTGCCTTGGTCACTTGTAGTTTCTTTACATTTTAGACACTTCTTCACTGCCAGACTAGTAATTCTTTTACCGAACAGCCTAGTAGTTCCTAGTACCCAAAGATTTTTAAACAAGTGAATGAATAAACTTATCTTTTATTTCAGGCTCTACTGGTCACTAGCCAAGTGACTTTATGTGTATTATCTCAATGCTCAAATTTTAGATTTTTTTGCATGAAATTCAAATAATACCGATTTTTCTTACATCATAGACGTGTGGAGATTAGCGAGACAATGTAAGTAAATGTACATAGTGAATTAAGAGGCAAGGTTGTATATCTTTATACTAAAACATGAGAGGAAATTTTAAAATGTCACATTCACCTTTATCCAACTGAAAACACATTTCTTATAGATTTATTAATAAGCAATTATATCCATCAGCTGCCCTTTTATAGTTTCAGAAATGACCAAATAAATTTAGAGGAATTAGATTGTAATTAATTTATCTCTAGGCAATGAAAGTATATAAGCAAGAATTTTATCTCTTTATCAAATGTGAATGAAAAAAAAAATGTGGCTTAGTGATTACAAGTATTAATTCATGACCTTACTTGCCTGTGTTCTCTCTACCCCATTCTTAGACCAAACCTTCACTTATTCTGGCTTGTTTATCTCCATCTTCAATTTAGGAATCTTTATAATCATTTATTGCTGCTATAGGGAGGGGCTTCAACAAGAGGGAGGGAAAATTCCAATCTCTTGTAATTCTATTTTTCCACAAATTTTTGAAGACCTCATATTAAGCCATCTCATTCTAGGAGAAGCGGTAAACAATAGATTGAAATAAATTTAAAAATTCAAACCAAATAAATAATTAAATAATGAAATTAAATCTCTGTGTTCAGTCCAGTACAATGCTGGTTGAAGTCTTGTTGTTTTGTAAAAGAATGTGACAATCTCAGTAATTGGCAAAGGGCATCGGGTAGAAAGTGGTCCAGGAAAATGGAGGGAACTAATGACATGTATTATCTGCTATTAGGAACTTTTAAACTTGAATTATATGGCCTATCCCATGCACTTTTCTCTCCATGTCACAAATAAGAACATTTGAGTCAAAATAAATCATTTTTGAACTTATTTACCTCCTAAATATCAATGCCAGTGTTCAAATTTGAGTCTCCTCACTGCAAAAATTCATGTTGTATTTCATTACTAGATTCAGATTTTGAAATCTTAAAATTTTAGAACTTCATAAAATTACAAAGATTGTTTTATTCTGTTTGATCTCGTAATAAGGATTTCTAGGCCTGACTACCTAAGAATCCCAGCTTGTGCATCAGGATTATCTTGTGGAATCTGAATGTTTTAACACTCTGCACTGGTGATCCTGATGTTTATCAGATTTGGGAATCTTTGACTTCTTCCATGGAATTAGATATTCTTAGTTCGTTTCCCCAATTATTCCAGTTAGGAAAGTTGTTTTGTTCTAGCAGTTAAATGGTGTGTTACATACACATAGTAAGCATTTATATTTGTAGAGTGAATTTGTTACATGCAAAGGAAAGTGTGTGGGGGAGATTTTGTAATGTAAAGGACCTTGGTAGCATAAAGGTTAAGTGCTCAGCTAGTAATTGAAAGTTGGCACTTTGAACCTGACAGTTAAAAGACTCAGAAGAAAGACCTGGTGATTTTCTGGAAAACCCTAGGTAACCCTGTTCTGCCCTAAGGGATCATATAAGTCAGAATCTACTTGGTAACACACAGTATTATCAGTGTTCAATGTTTGTGGGGGTGGGAAGCATGAATACCTTTACAAACAGTGATGCCTATGTTACTTCAACACCACATGCACTAAATTGAATGAAGGAGAGAGGATTAGCATGGCCCCAGCACAGGAATGAAATGCAAATTCATGCGTCATTTCCATATTAAAAGCAAAACAAAACAGTAATGCTAAGATGTTTATTAAATCTTCATGAAGAATAGTATTTTCTAATAATTGGTAGTTTTATGTTGATTAATTCTTTATAGGTTGGAATTTATCTTTTGGAAACTGGCCTAACAAAACTAGACTTTATGAGTGATGCAAATTCAAGAATGAAAAAATGCAATCAACTCATGAAGAAAGTGATGGAAAAACTATACAATTTTGTTCCAGGTAATTTTTAAAGTAACTTTAAAATAGTTATTACTTAGAAGTTGGGAGGTTATTTTTGTTTTTTGTTTTTTCCTCTTAATTCCAATGTGTAACAACCAGGAACGTAGCTAGTAAAACTATAATGAAATTTTAACAACTTCTATAAAATGACTAGATTAAACTCAGTAATGTAATTTTTTCTTTATTTGATTTGTCTATGAAAATTGTGAGTCAATGAGTAGGTCACTATGTGGCATTTAAAAAGATCCAAACTAATAGGAGAAAGGACAAATAACCATAAATGATTGTAATGTCAGACAGATTGCAATATTTACTGTCACCAAAGTATTAAAGTATTGTGTACACATGGAATTTTCTTTTTTTTTTCCTTTTAAAAAAAAATCATTTTATTAAGGGCTCATACAACTCTTATCACAATCCATACATACATCAATTGTGTAAAGCACGTTTGTACATTCATTGCCCTCATCATTCTCAAAACATTTGCTCTCCACTTAAGCCACATGGAATTTTCATTCCAGCCTAGAGAAACAAAAGAAATTGCCTTAGACTAAGTAATACTTTAACTATTTTATAAAATAAACTACACATTTTCCAATCAGTGAAGAATCAAGGACAGGGCGTTCTAGCCACAAAACACTGAGAAATGGTCCAGAGTTGAGAGAGTGTCTGATAGGTTTTGGAGCTAAAATTGCGTGCTTATGAAAAGTGGATCGGGTTTTGATGAGTGTATTTGCCATTGGGTATGCAGATGTGTTGGAAGAGGATGAGGAAGATTCAGAGAGTGAGCCAGAGGGACAAGACATTGATGAGCTTTATCACTTTGTGAAGCAAATACATCACCAGGAGACACAGCCTGTCCAAGTGGATGTCCAGCATCCTGCATTGACGCCTGTGTTGAGACCCTACCAAAGAGACGCTGTCAATTGGATGCTCCAACAAGAGCATTTCAAAAGTGCTCCAACCAATGGCAAGTATAAGATGCTCTCAGAAAAGGTAGGTTGGTTAGAGGGATGATACAAGAGAGGTGAGGGGAAATTGATTATTAAAATCATACTGAAATGCTAGGTAAGATCGAATGGGTGTTAATATGACCAAGATTATTATCTAAGGACTCTGAAAACTATTTTTGTGAGTTGAAAATCATTGTGAGTTTCCTCATCCATTGGGCTATTGGCTACGCGGTTTGACAAATTCATCAAATTGATTTTCTTTCTTCCAAAATAAGGCCGCTTTGATTGAAACGGTTAAAAGCAAAGGATTTCTTTACATGCCTTTCCAATTAGATTTGCTTTTAGAACCTGATCAGATGGGAACCATGCTAACCATCTGCATGAGACTTCACACAATTTGATGATGAGTATTGGTGACCGAATGCAAATTTACAAAGATAGAAGGCTTCCTTGTGGCTAATCGAATGTTCTAGATTTGCATTTATTCTCTTTGCAATGTAAATTATAAAATATTATTACTTTTGTATTGATAGTAGATTTATGGAAATCAGTTTGCTACTCCCCAAGCTCATAGGTTCTCAAACTTACTTGGCCTATCAACCCCGCTTTCAGGAAAGAAGTTAATCAGTGCCCCCTTGGTAATTAAATATTTTTGTTCTGTAGCCCATTGTCCAGGATAAAGTGTAGGTATTTGCTTTTGTAGCCCCTCTGGGTTATTCCAGCGCCCCCTAGGGGCTGGTGCCCACTTTGAAAAACACTGATCTAAGGTTCACATGATTTGAGACAATGAGGTATCAAGTCTTTGTCATTTCAGCTATATACATGGTTAGCTCGATTGTTTTTTACGCGCTAGATTTGTTTTTCTCTTAAAATATATTTTTTAACTATTAAGCCATAACTTACATACAGTAGAATACACAGATTTGATAAGTATGTCAAACTGTGGAGTCAGAAACCCACTTATGACATAGAACTGCTGTGTCGAAAAGGTGGCCACTAGTTTACACGTAGGCTTTTGAAACTTGAAATGTAACTACCCCAAACAATATGTGCTTGAAGTTTAAAACACACACCAGATTTCAAATAGTTGAAGAAGAAAGAATGTACCCCATCTCAATAAATTTTGTTTATTACTTATTGGAGTAATATTTTGGTTATTGGGCTAAATAAAACAAAGATTATTTTATCTGTTTTCTTTCATTTTGTTTAATGTGACTACTTTAAAGTGGCTCACATTATATTTCTATCTGGCAATGCTGATACAGAGTATTTCCCAATGCCCAGAAAGGTTATTTATAGCGCTTTCTAGTCAATTCCCCTAGGTTGTCCCTTTCAGAGAAAACCAGTGTCAGTTTAGTTTTGTTTATTTGAAATGTTAATGAAACTGTACCATGTCTATTTTGTCTTGGGTACCAAAGGGTTGGTTGCTCTGGTTTCTTTCAACATGAAATGAATTTTGAAATTCATATATATTTATGGTTTGTAATTTATTATTTCATTCACTGAGTAGATTTTGTTAGTAATAATTCTCACCTGCCATTTAGTATGTTCTGTCCTTTCCTTCTGGGTCCCATAAAATACAACTTTTCATCTTTCCAATTTTGCATTGTATAAATGCTATGGATCTTTGATTCTGTATTCCTTTTTCATCTATGAATCTCTGAAGAAGGCAGCAAAAAGTTAAATTCTGTTTCATTTATTAGTAGAGATACACTTTTTATATAGAAACTGGTTTAGACAAATCAAGCTGTGAAGAAGGGTAGTGGAAGACTGGTTGAAGCAACCCAATACTTTTGTTACAGTTTTAGGTACTTCTTCAGTATTATAAATCTCTTCTTACCCCTTCCAAACCCAGGTCTGCTTGGATAAATGTGGTAGCCTACTAGAATATCCTGGCAGCATAATTTTAATACTGTATATGCTTGTGTATAAGCCGAGTTTTTCCGCACATTTTTAATGCCGTTTTTTGAGGTAAAATTAAGTGCCTCGGCTGATATTTGGGTCAGCTTATACTCGAGTATATACAGTATTGACAATATTTTTTGAGGGTTTATAAAAGACAAGTACATTTCCTTTTTGGGGTAGGAGTCGGTTGTATGGGTTTTCTTCTGTTAATTCTCTGTAATTTGTTATACTTCATTCTTCTGTCAGATCACTTGTTTATATGGGAACTGTGTAGAGCATGAGAAGCTACAGAGTAGTCGGAGAGGAAAGACGCTGAGGGCTCCTTTTCCCCAGGCAGTTACCTCCAGGCAGGAAAATGAGACATGCAAAAACCGGTTCTTATGGTTATGTTTTTCTTTAGGACATGCTTTGCACTTCTTATGGCGTGAAATTGTTACATCCGAGGGCTTGAAACTCTACTATAATCCATACACAGGCTGGTAAGGCCAATTTTCCTTTTGTACTTGTTTAAAAATTAATAAATAACATGAAAGATTGTACCATACTGCTTTTACCCATTATAGAATCTAAAGGGAAAATGCTAAAGTAATAGGTGACTAGAATTTTTATAGATAGGGTAGAAATGGAATAAGTAGCACTTATCATTTTGCAGTAAATGAATGCAGAATAATAGACTTAAAGCATTTAATTCTTAGTATTTGAAGTGAAATTATAATTCGATGTAAAAATGTCACTTTATTATAGGCTAGTTTTTACATTTTTTATTAAACTTGTTAATTTGTATTGCAAGTTCTATGAATATAATTAAAGCAGTAGTAATTTACTGCCCTTATTTTTAAGAGAAATTCCTAAAGATCACAGAAAGACAGACATGTTCCCCTTTTTGTTTGTTATAAATCATTTTATTGGGGGCTCATACAACTCATCACAATCAATACATATATACATTGTATGTCAAACACATTTGTACATTTGTTGCCCTCATCATTCTCAAAACATTTGCTTTCTACTTAAGCCCTTGGTATCAGCTCCTCATTTTTCCCCTCCCTCCCTGCTACCCCCTCCCTCATGAACCCTTGATAATTTATAAATTATTATTTTTTTGTCATATTTTATACTATCCGATGTCTCCTTTCACCCAGTTTTCTGTTGTCCATACCCCAGGGAGGAGGTTATATGTAGTACCTTATGATCGGTTTCCCCTTTCTACCCTACCTTTCCTCCACCCTTTGGTATCGCCACTCTCACCACTGGTCCTGAAGGGATCATCTGTCCTGGATTCCCTGTTTCCAGTTCTTATCTGTACCAATGTACATGCTCTGGTATAGCCGGATTTGTAAGATAGAATTGGGATCATGATAGTGGGGGGCAGGAAGCATTTAAGAACTAGAGGAAAGTTGTATGTTTCATCATTGCTAACACTGCACCCTGACTGGCTTGACTCCTCCCCACGACCCTTCTGTAAGGGGACAGACATGTTCCCTTTTAATATGCTGTTATTAGTGTCCATCTAGTTGAACTTGACCCAGAGTGACCCTGTGCATAACGGAACAAACACCAACCAGACATGCACTATCTTCATAATTGTTGGTTGTTGTGTTTGAGCCCACTGTTGCAGCCATTGTGCAAATACCTCTCTCATCCTGAGTGATATTTTTCACTGACCTTCCACTTTACCAAGCATGATGTCCTTTTTCCAGGGACTGTTCTCTGATAAAAATCCAACGTACATATTTGTATGTTTGATCAATTTCAGACTATGGAAGTAGTAGTAGGAAGTATGGAAATGGAATTTTTCAGTTTCTTCATCTTTGGTTTTATTGGTTTGTGTATAAATTTGGATAACAGTTGTATTAACTGGTCTTCATTATAGGCGTTTAGATATTAAAACACAGGCAGCATTGTCTGTCAAGATAGATTTTGAAATATTCTTTTTGTTGATGAATACAATACCATTCCTCTTCTATTTCTTATTCCCAGCTTAGTAAACCATGTGATTATGACTCAAAATGCCAATACCAGTTCATTTCAGCCCAATAATCCCTAGGATATTGATATTTATGAGTGTCATTTCATTTTTTATGACATCACCCAGTATTCATACTTTGAGCTTTCCTATTACTAATGGATATTTGCAGCGATTTTTCCTTGTTCTGCGGTATGCCCAATAAGTAAATGAAGATTTTCCATCTATATTACTAAAGCTGCCTACTTTGCAAAGGCAGCTCTTCCCTGCTCATATTTTGAGAGTCTTTCAACCTGAGGGGGCTCATCTTTTGGCACCACTATATATTATTCCACTATCCCATCACTATTGATAATGGTTTCAGTGACTTAAGTTTCAGCAGTGGACAGCATGCTTCTTCTAGTTTGTTGTTAGTCTGGAAGTTCCACTGATATCTGTTCACCATCGGGGACCCTACTGGTATTTCATTTCAGTTGCATACCCTACAGTATCAATACTGTAGTGGCCTTTTAAGGCAGAAGGGGATAAATGGTGGCTACTTAACAGTAATATATTACTTCTGCAGATTTAATTACCATTTCAGGCAGGTTTTTTTATTATCATGATGCGTAAGGGTTTGAATTGCTTCACCCTAAAATAATGATATAAAGAAACTGAAACGTTCATGCATTTCTTCTTGTCCTCTCTGAGAACAATAATTTGGAATATTACCTATTTTTCACATATAATGCATGCTCTACTTCTTATGCCAAGACCCACCTCCCCTTTACATTATTTCTTAGGCACGCTAGGTGCATTATATGTGTGGGCACGATATTCACATGGGTACATTGTGATAAATCAGAAGTATGCTTTTTGATTCGGTTTTCTGATGGGTTTTTCTTTTCCTTTAGCATCATTCGTGAGTACCCAGTTCCTGGACCACAGTTGCCTGGTGGAATCTTAGCAGATGAGATGGGTCTTGGAAAGACAGTGGAGGTTTTGGCTCTGATTCTAACACATACAAGACAAGATGTCAAACAAGATGCTCTCACTCTTCCTGAGGTAGGAGAAGGCCTGTAGGGCTTGGGGGAGCAAGGGACGTATGTTTTCAAAGAACATCATATGTTGAACATTTGCTTGGCTTTTAAGAGTGCTTTGTGAATAATGATTTATATTACTTGTTAGTTAACTAATTTGGCACCTACTAAGTGGTTTTTGTGACCTGGCAAAATTTTTAAAAGTGATTTTGCCCAGCAAAGAAAGATTTATGCATTCACTTAGCAGGCATCCTTCTGGCTTGCACGGAAATTTTGTTTTAAGAAAGTACTATTGCTTCCTCAAATGTTTTGCTGCTTACTAAAAATCAAACCAAATGTGTTAGCATTGAGTCAGTCTGCACTCGTGGCAGCCCTGGGCAGTACTGTGCAGACCTGCGTTTGTTTGGTTTTCTCGACTGTCATCGTGAAGCCAATTGCCAGGCTTCTCTTCTGTGGGATTGCTGAATGGATTCTAAGCACCAACCTTTAGCTAAATCTTCAAATACAAACTGCCGCCCAGAGGCTTCTCTGCCACTTAATTATTCAAACTCACTGCCGTCAAGTCGCTGGAGGTTTCCAAAACTGCAACTCTTCACGGGAGTAGAAAGTCCTGCCTTTCTCCCCGTCACTTGTCTCCATATTACCATGAAAATTTTTGAGGCTTATATTTAAAAAATTGCTACAAATCTCAGATATGGATATCTTAAAAAGAGGGTATTTTGGTAGTGAGATTGCTAGATGAAACATATCTTAAGTCCTTACCCTAAAACATATAATTGTGTTTAAAAATATAAACTTTAGAGTTCACATATACACATGAAATCCTTAACTTAGGCAAGTCTAGCTCAGAGCTCAACTTTCCTAGTAAGGATATTGGAAATTAGTGCATTAAATTCAGCTGAATGAGACTTTTCTGTGGCTTTGATTATCTCTAGGGCTTTATCTGCTCACAGGTTAAGACTGTAGGAACTTTTGTTAGGGTTGAGTTTGCAACTTCAGCTTTTCAAATTTGAGTAGTTGGATGTAGAAACAAATCTCTTGTAGAAAAATGACTTGATAAATTTTTAAAATCATTTTATTGGGGGCTTGTACAACTCTTATCACAATCCATACATCCTTATATTGTATCAAGCACATTTGTACGTTTGTTGCCATCATCATTCTCAAAACATTTGCTTTCTACTTGAGCCCTTGGTATCAGCTCCTCATTTTCCCCCCTCCCTCCCTTCCTGTCCCCCTCCCTCATGAACCCCTGATAATTTATGTTATTATTTTGTCATGTCTTACTCTATCCGACATCTCCCTTCACCCACTTTTCTGCTGTCCGTCCCCCAAGGAGGTGGTTAGATGTAGATCCTTGTAATCAGTTCCCCCTTTCTACCCCACCTTCCCTCTACCCTCCCGTTATCACCACTCTCACCACTGGTCGGTCCTGAGGGGTTCATCTGTCCTGGATTCCCTGTGTTTTCAGTTCCTATCTGTACCAGTGTGCATCCTCTGGTGTAGCCAGATTTGTAAGGTAGAATTGCGATCATGATAGTGGGTGGGGAGGAAGCATTTAGGAACTAGAGGAAAGTTGTATGTTTCATCATTGCTACACTGCACCGTAACTGGCTGGCTAGTCTCCTCCCTGTGACCCTTCTGTAAGGGGATGTCCAGTTGCGTACAGATGGGCTTTGGGTCCCCACTCCGCACTCCCCCTCATTCACAATAATATGATTTTTTGTTCTTTGATGCCTGATACCTGATCCTATCGACACCTTGTGATCACACATGCTGGTGTACTTCTTCCATGTGGGCTTTGTTGCTTCTCAGCTAGATGGCCGCTTGTTTATCTTCAAGCCTTTAAGACCCCAGACACTATATCTTTTGGGCACTATCAGCTTTCTTCACATTTGCTTATGTACCCGATCATTTTAGCTATCATTAACTTCCTGGGTTTTTCTGCTCACTAGCCACTAATTCTAAGTGACTATTTTCAGTATTATCAACTCAATGGGTTCTCTGTTTAAATAAGCTTTAAAAACTTCATTTGAGAAATTCCTTAGTTGAGTTTAATAATTCTAGAAAATATGGTAATATGTACAATTTTAAAAGTAATGCTAGGCTATAAGGTCTGGGATAAAAAGTAATTGTGAAAAAAAAAAGTAATTGTGTATGAGTTACATACTCTGTGTATCCTTTCTTTTTGCGCAAGTTTTGCATCTCCATAGTAAGCATTTTAATGTTATTAAGCAGTTGAGAATGCTGAAAGCAAAACACTGTAACTACTGAATGTTGTTTACATCAGGGAAAAGTGGTGAATTATTTCATTCCATCACATAATTCTGGAGAAAAAGTGAAAAAAACCACAGAAACCCGGAACCTGGCCTTTGAACCCAAAGTAAAAGTTCAGTGCCCCCGTAAGTATGCCATCTGTTAAGTAAATACTTGTTTATATTGATCTTTGTGCTGATGCTTTTCAGTTGCCATGGAGAGATGGCTTGTAATTGTTAATGGATAACTATTTTACAGACCTATGTATGTGTAAATGAATTTAATTGTAAGTCATATTGTAACAAAAGAAAAGGTTTATTCTCTAGTTTAGCTGTTTCAAATTTTGCTATCAAAATGAAGCCTTCCCTTCTTTGTGGTAGCATACTTAGATAATTTAAAGATTTGGGCATTTGGGTGTTTTGTTTTGTTTCATTTAGAATAGTAGCAGATCAACAGATTAGTATTTATAATTCATCCTTGAATTATTTCCATTTCCATAGTTTAATTCCTGCTGGGTTGAGATCATTTTTTACGACATACTTTTCGAAATCACACTAAACAGAGAATCTAACTCTGAGAACTGTTTGGCTCATTTTTTTCTTAATCTCAAACTGCAGTGTGGATTGATTATAATTAGCTGATAGTTGTGTTCTTTTTATGTAGCTACACGTGTGATGATATTGACAGCTGTGAAAGAATTGAACTGGAAAAAAGGCGTGTCCATTCTTTCCATCTATAAGTATGTCAGTTCTATATACAGATACGATGTTCAGCGGAATAGAAGTCTTCTGAAACGGATGCTGAAATGTCTGATTTTCGAAGGTCTTGTAAAGCAGATCAAAGGCCATGGTTTTTCTGGGACTTTTACACTGGGGAAGAATTATAAGGAAGAGGATATATGTGATAAAACAAGAAAGCAGGTAACCGCATTTATGAAGTACCTATATATGATACCTGTCCGAATAAGTTGGCAGAATCTGCTTTGACACTGTAGCTTTTACAGTCTGAAGGTCATAAACAAATTAATAAACTAAATAGCTACTACTACAGGCATTTCCAGCTATGAACATTTCTGACTTACGTTTGCTGCTTTCTGCGAATCATTCCATGAGAGTAGAGACTGTCGTGATTAAGCATGCTGTAGAGATTAAAGTAACTTGTCTATTAGCATCATGCTGTGTTAAGCACTTGGAAAGTTTGTCCCGAATTTTAAAATATTGCAAATAGCTTACATTTGTGTAGTATTTTATATAAAATTTGAATCTTTTATGTAATGTTGTTATTTCCTACATCGTCATTTGGTTATAAAACTGCTTCTGATGGGACAGTAAATTCTGTTTCCTTTTAGGAAAGCAATTACAATATTTACAAAACTAAGTCAAGGAAATAATAATGACAAGTCAAAATATGGAACTATCAGCTCAGCTACTCTAATAGAAATAGCAGGCAAAAAAGTTTGTTTTCTCCAACATTTTACCCTTAGCCTACTACGTGAGGATACCGAACACCTGTTCATCCCACTGATTCAGTGTTAAGTGTCCTAACTCACCTATCACTTTCAGGAAGCAATCCCTTGCTGTCCCTATAGCACCTCACCCCTGCCCCACCCCCAACAATATTTGTTACCCTTCTTAGGTATTCCTGTAACGTCCTATACTTAGCTGTGATCGGTTTCTATTATAATTATCTATCCTGTTGCTTCTCTTTTCCAGTAAGCCCCTTTTAGACCAAGGGTCAAATAATACACAGGTATGCATTACATAATGTCTGCAGTATGTTCTGTGAAATAAGACATGTTGTAAGAAACACGTGAACAGTCACCAGTTAGTCTCTAGAGTTAACACCACTGCTATGCCAAAGGACTAAAACCCTTGTCTCCACTAGTGCTGGTCCTGGGTGGCCTTGTCCCAATCTCTGAGAGTTCTGCTTTGCCTCCTTCTGCCGTTCAGCTGTCAAGGCAGGGACCTCACTTCTGGCTCACTTTTCACTCTCCCTTCCCTCCCTCCCTCCCTTTTCCATACACTTTAAACCCACAGTCCAACTCATAATGACTCTTGGACAGAGTAGAACTGCTCCTTTGGGTTTCCGAGACTTTAAATCTTTATAAGAGCAAGAAGCCTCACCTTTCTCCCATGGAGTGCCTGAGAGACTCAAGCCACTACAGTATTGTTAGTAGTTCAAGGCATAACCCACTATACCACCAGGGGTCCTCTTCGCTTCATGGGCTGTAAATTTTTCCAGTCCTTCCTACCCCTCCTCCTCAGACTTATTCCTGCAGCCTCCAACCCAAGCATCACCACAGGGTGCTCAGGCCAAATGGGTGAAGATTCCATGGGGCAGTATGTATAGTTTGCCTGGAGCCAGAGCTGTGGAATATAGGCAGCCGAAGATGGGCACCAGCTCTTCCCCCC